AGCAACTGGCATACGGTTTAATGTGAAGTCAACAACAACAACAACAACAACTGACACCTACTACCTGTCAGTCACCCGGGAATTGCTAGGCACACGGATACACACTCGTTCCCTCCTGGACTGTCGGACCAGACGCCATCAAGCATCGATTGCTTCCGTCCGGAAGAATTTACACTACAACACTTGACCGACCACGAGCGGACGAGCATTGCCGGCAGTGAAAAGCGTGACATCATGCTACTACTGGTAGCTCCCCCCCGATCCTCTGTCGTCGAAAAAAAGAAACAGAAAGTAGTGTGCATCATGCAAGTGTATTTCATTTTACAGCGATTCGTCACTGATCTCTTGAATCAATTCCCAAATCGGCGAATGCAGTGTGGGCAATGCAGCGCCTTCCATTTCTAGAGCACTCCCTAACTAACCGGCGGTCATTCCTCCGATCGTGTCATCATTGATTGGCCGGCCCGACATCTCGCAGGTGGATGTCCAAGTGTGTGTGTGTTTAAAAAATATACCATTCATACATAATTTTCTGTTTTCCTCTTTCACTTTTCACCCAATCAATGTTCACCAACTTTTCACGCCACCGTGCTAAGGAGGAGGACCCGATTCGCGGGGTATTTACCTGTCGATTGACTTTTACCTGAATCGGTACACCTTCGCACTTGACATCAGCTGGTCACTGGTTCGAATCTCCTCGGGTATCTTGTGCTTGTTTATGTTCAAACACCGAAACACAATGTTCAAACACGACTCACTGAATGAGACTAAAACCCCGTGAGAAACACCTTTCTATGCTTTACTTTGATCGGGGCTTTTTGTTGCACAAACACACAGCAGTTTTCACACCGGTCGCCCCGGTGGTCTAGTGGGTAGCCTCGCAGCCTGCTAAGGGCCGGGTCATGGATTCGAGGCCCGGCAGAGAGAGTTTTTTTCTCGCTAAATAAATCCTGGTCTTCTATGTGGAGAACACCTTCATAAAGNTTCAAACACGACTCACTGAATGAGACTAAAACCCCGTGAGAAACACCTTTCTATGCTTTACTTTGATCGGGGCTTTTTGTTGCACAAACACACAGCAGTTTTCACACCGGTCGCCCCGGTGGTCTAGTGGGTAGCCTCGCAGCCTGCTAAGGGCCGGGTCATGGATTCGAGGCCCGGCAGAGAGAGTTTTTTTCTCGCTAAATAAATCCTGGTCTTCTATGTGGAGAACACCTTCATAAAGAAAGGTTGAAACTCCCCAGAGTCTGTCGAGGACGAAACCCTCTTTTCCACAATGGCGTCGACGAAGAGATGTCAGGTAGGTAGGTGTCTGTCTGCTTCTGGTTGCAAAAGACACGGGTTCAAAACCCGCTGCTCACCTAATTTTCTTCCGGAGTACGGAAAAAGAAAAACGGTGGGTGGGCCAAGAAACGATGCACTGTCTGTCGAACTCGAAACTTATGACAATGCGTGGCGGAAGTGGTGCACTCGCACACACGCACAGAAGAGTGTTTGAAAAAAGATGGTTTTGCTCGCCGCCAGCCGGTCGGGTTCCGGTTACCCCAAGAAGACTTCTCTTGCCTAGCAAACAGGAAGAAGCCTCGAAAAAGGGGGGGGTATTGTGGAGAACACCTTCATAAAGGTTCCTCAACGGCTGTCTGTCGAGGACGAAACATTTTATCCACAATGGTGTCGACGAAGAGATATATATCTGGCGTCTGATTTCGGCTGCAAAAAGACACGGGTTCAAAACCCGCTGCTCACCTAATTTTCTTCCGGAAAAAAATAGAAAAACGGTGGGTGGGCCAAGAAACGATGCATTGTCTATCGAACTCGAAACTTATTATGGCAATGCGTGGCGGAAGTGGTGCACCCGCACACACGCACAAAAGATTGTTGGAAAAAAAGGGGGTTCTACTCGCCGCCAGCCGGTCGGGTTCCGGTTACCCCAAGAAGACTTCTTCTCTTGCCTAGCAAACAAGAAGAAGCCTCGAAAAAGGGGGGGGGGGTAATATAATGTGGAGAACACCTTCATAAAGGTTGAAGAAACTAACTCCCCAACGTCTGTCGAGGACGAAACCCTCTTTTCCACATCTAGGATGAAAGCGACGCGCTGCAAAGCTCGTTTGTTAGTAAACCATAATCGACTTCGTAAGTCGCGAGGGAAGGGATTGCTGTACCCTTCTCGCGATAAAAATACCTCAGGCATNCGCGAGGGAAGGGATTGCTGTACCCTTCTCGCGATAAAAATATCTCAGGCATGAACCGCAGGAGGGGGTCCAACCCCCCTCTCCTATGTGACCCCAGTTGGGTCGTCTAGCCAGTAGAAGTGGAGGATAGGGGCCAGAGGGGCAGACGGCAGAGTCCAATGATGGGAGAGAAACAAACAAAAAAACACACACATGCACACACATGGTGAGAGTAATTCTTTTGGGAGTGACGAAGACGAAGGAAAGGGAAAGGGGAGAAAGGAGGATGACGACGATGGAGCAGAAAAACATGGAGGAGTGGAAGAGAGCAAAGGGTTTGAGCCAGATGACCTTCCCCACAACAAGAAACGTAGGGCTAGGGAAGAACTGCCCAGAGATTCTTCTTGTCGAAATGAGGATCAGAATGATGGTAGCGAAAACAAGGAGGACACTGGTGAAAGTACTCCTAAACGAACTCGAGTACTAGGTAATAGCCTTGGTAGACGCGTGCATTTTTCGTCTGTTGCTGCTGTTTCTGTTTTTAAT